CAAAAGATTAAGCGCGGCTAAGAGTCTCAGGACACTTTTTTCTATCAAACCAGCACACTTTCTGGCGAGCCCCCAAGTCTGTACTCACTGGATGGTGGCCGGAGAGAGTTTAACTGCTCATATCCTCATCCCGGCTCCCTGTCGCTGCAAAAACGAACAGCTCATCCCCCAAGACAGGAAAATTAAGACAACAAGCGGTCCCCCGGCGTTCAATAGGACGTACAGATGAATTACTGGCGATGGCGGGTGATCCAGTCGTGTCAGACTCCATCTCAGTGTCCCAAAGGTCACACAGCTTTGGGAGAATTGTTCGCATTGTTCATCCCCTGTCATGTTGGTGTCGTTTCAAAGACAGGTCAAAGCCATTTCATTTCACCAGATTTTTCTTTAATGTATCACAGTTCGGAATATTTTTAATACCAATAGCGATATTTGAGTGAATGGGGCATGAGATGTAAAAATGTCCATCATTCTCTGAAAAGACACTAGATGTCAAGTTGTCTGTTCATGCACGTCTAGAGGATGTGGGAGCTGAATGATGCCGTTATTGATGTTTGCTTCATCGGCCCCATCTCACCTGTCACCAGATTGCTTTCATTACACACACTCCCCACTGTGGGAATTGCCAGAGTTGTGCTTATCTACATAGCCATATTTCATATTTTCATATTACGAGGTTTCACTGATACGGCTGTCGGTAAACTCCAGTACACTGGAAAAAATGCCCCTCCAAAAATAAGTAAAAAAACAACAAATACGAGACGTTTTTGCTTGAAATAAGCAAAAAAATCTGCCAATGGAACTAGTGAAAATCGGCTTGTCAAGATTTCTTGAAATAAGATGTAATATTTAGGACTTTTGAGATAGGAATTGATCTTGAAATTAGCCAGGTAAACTTATTTTGAGCTATATTTTACTAGTATTAGAAAGTGTTGTGTATCATAATAAGCTTGAAATGCTCAAAAGTAGCTTTTTATTTTTTCACTGTTCATGGCATCCCTCTTATTTCAAGTGTATTTAACTCATTTAAAGTTCTAAAATAGTGACATTGTCCTAGATTTTAGACCACCACCAACTTGAAATAAGATTAAAAAGTGATTATTTAAGCATTTTAGGATAAAAATGTCTTGAAGTTAGCTGGAAATACTCATATTATGCATTGTTTTACTCATAAGAAGTGCTTTTGTATCATAACTAATCTCAATCAGTGCTTTAACTTAATG